GACTGGAAAGGACACCCTTCCAGCCGGCAAGGTACATGTACCTCGCCGAGTGGAAGGAAGCCCTTCCAGTCAACGAGGTACAAGTACCTCGCCGGCTGGAAGGAAGCCCTTCCAGCCGGTCCGTCGCCGGCCCTTTAGAGGGCGGGTATCCGAGGATACCCGCTGCAGCCGACGGATACCCGCTAGCGGGTGCGGGTGCGGATGCGGATGTGCAATTTTGCTGAAATCGCCATCGGATATCCGCATCCGAACGGATATCCGGATGCGGACCGACCATCTCTACATTTGAACAAGTCTCATGACTTCAAGTCTGTGTTTTGGAGCTCTGGAATCCAAAATCAGCAGCCACTTTTCGCTGTCTAGCCACTGTACATCAGTGGCCTGGAGGAATCCTCCCAGCCACTGCCAGGGGTCTTTTGGTCCATTGACCCCCAAAACCTGCTTAGTTTGGGAGGATTGAATCCCAAACTGACCAGGGATTTTTATTTTATTATTTTTTAGGGAGTCCACTCCCAAACCAGTCAAAGGTTTTGGGGGTTTGACTCCTATTTTTTGAGGAATTCGGGGCTTGGGATTCGGCTCTCCATTTTTTTTGGTGGGAGTTGCATTGATTTTTTGACAATTATTATTCCAAATCACCATCAGATTCAGGAAACTTAGGCTGAGTTTGTTAGTGTTGTGTGCAATTGCAATATGTGTGGTGTTGGAACTTCATGTCATTGTTTTGTCTTCTTTCACTTCCTCCTTTCTCACAACCATCTGACACTTGTTTCTATCCTTTTCCAGTTGAATATGCATGGTCCTTTTCCACCTTCTGTCCAGTGTCCCACAGCCTAGCCCTCATGTTGTAAGTAGATAAATAAACTTGCTGTGAGAGTTAGAGAATAAAAATTCATCAGTTCTTCTGCACCTGTTCCCTGAGGTCACTCATACAGCCTCTTGTAGCAAGTACAATTTTCTGTCTTGCAAGCTAGCAGTCCTCTTAGCCCTCTTTGAGGGCTCTTTGACCTTGTTTTTTCCTCCTGAGTTTGTTTCTTCTGGTTGAATTTCCCTCCCTCTCTTTGGCATATTTGCTGGGTTTCACCATGTGGAATCCACTCAAATTCTGTTAAATTTTGCAGGGATTTCACCCATTATGCTGCTACATTGTGCTAACAGCAGGGACCTTAGTAATATGAAATTTTCTTAAACCAACTTTCAAAATAATATATTGGTGACTAGCACCCTTGGTTAAGATAAATTTTGAAAAACCTTGATAACCATATCAAGATTGCCAATGTTGCAATGAACTCAGTGTTGAGTTGTCATTGCCAATTTTCACTCTTCTCATCTGGTATGCTACATACCTGTCACTCATCTGTCAAAGATCTTGTAGTAGACCTGGGCCAGAATTGAGTACGTGGATGGATTCTCTTTCCTCATCCTTTCCACTATCTCTTCTTCTGACCCTGGTAAGTTTAGCTCACTTCTCTTTTTCATTCAACTTCCTTTCTCATGTTTTTGTGTTGTCTCAAGATCTATAATAGATGCTACATCCTTTCCAATATCTCTTCCTATGAGCC